GCTAGGAGCCCCACGGGCCCCCTGCACCCCAAGGGCCCCTGGGCAGCGGCCCCGCTGGCCCGGTCCGTAATCCATCCCTGCTTACTACTGTATTTCCACAAAAGAATTAATATTACTCATACATATTTTCTCTGGATGTTACAGCTAAACCTTCAGGCTATCAAACTTAAACATATCAGCAAAGTTATTTAGGTATAGTTTAGAATTTGTTACATTTTTTGAAATATTAAATAACAGAATGACAGCACTATGGAACATGTTTATGGTTCTAAAACCATGCAACAAACTATTCATCTGGTACATTTCTGTTTTGATAGTGAAATTATGCTGTTACATAAATATTCAAAGGGTTTACCTGGATTAGCAATTAGACACGTGAAAGATCATTTGAATGCACTACAATCAGAGGCTTAAACCTCTGCTGGTACACAGATGCAGTGGTTTAATAAAGTAACCAGATAAAGAAAAAGACGCGCATACTTTGGATTTTCTCGTCCATTCCTTACTTTTTTGGTGCTTTAATTTCCTGCCGCTTTGAACGTGCTCCCGGGGCATCCGGAGCTGTGCCGCTGGTGTCGGATAAGCAGTGCATGAGCCGCTCCTACGCCACGGGGCCGTGCGGGGGGATTTAAAAAGGTTATCCAGAGTCAGCAACTCTAGCCAAAGGGATTAAACGGCGTGTCTTGTTTTTTTTTATAAAGAATATCCTGCTACAACCTGAAAGCCGGCTTTGTTTCCCTTAGTTCTGCATTGCTGTTTCCTGCCCCCCTTCATGCGCCTCTGCCTGTCCTGGATCCTCTCGCTCCCTAAACCGGATCTGCCGTGTTTACTGCCTGCCAGAATTTGCTGCCTTTGCCGAAATTTGCTGGTGTATCTGTAAGTTTTTGCTACTTTGCAAAAAAAATAAAAAATCCTATCCATAGTTCTGAATGGATATTTGTATGAGGATATATATTGTCAAAATAACTGTCATGTACTTTATATTGGGGTAGCAGAATTTTACACGTCATTTTATGCTGCCAGAAACTGCTACCTACAATTAATGAGGTAGCAGCTTAAACTTAGGTCACGGTGAAACAGAAACGTAGGCCAATATCTCGTTAATTATTATTGAAATTAAATATTTTTACTTTTTAATTAAAAAATATATTTGATTTATAAAGCAAAGACCACAATTTAAAGTAGTCTGAACAAGAAAAGCAAATATACGTTTACCGTAGAGTTCAATGGTAAAATCAGGTGCTGTATTTACAGACTTCATACTCCGTAAGAATACAGACAGTATATCAACAGCTACCTCGATTGTGTGTAATAAACACAAATGTCAACGAAATAATAATAACATTTAAGATAGACCACGTTAGCATGCAAGGATAGCAAAGTTTTTCAGAAATTGTAAACGTGTGATGTAATGTTGATTTACGTCTGTCTGTGCTGTCGCGCTTGGAAGCAATTAATGTCGGGTAGGAGAAAAAGGGCTGAACTTGTGTCTTCGATTCGCTTTTTTCCCACACTGACTACCGGATACAGATCAACTCTGGTAACAGATTATGTAACATCATAAATACAAAAACGAAATTAAAAATTGATAGGTTTTTAAAATAAAAGCAGTTCTGTGCCTCTATTTTCACAGAATATAGGAACTTCTCAAAAGAAATGTATTCAGGAACACGCCGAAATGCAATAAAATGCAAGACCAAACATTTTATTTTATAGATTGATACAAAATTTCGAAAGGTCTTTTGTCTTGAAGCATTTGCTTGTGCACATGACAACCATTACTGAGTAGTTACAGAGAAATCCTGAACCTGCATATTCAGTCTAATCATTGAACCTGAACTGTGATCTGGAGTGAAACATCGCAAACATCTCAGATATCCATCAACTCATTCTGTTACAAGTGCATGTCTTGGTGTCTCAGTCACTGTACGGCTTCTCTGACATCTCCACCACTTTTGCATTCCCCTTCTGCACTGGGGTCAAGGGCTTCACCAGTTCGTTGTGGACGTGCATCATACCTGGAAACGGGAACCAGACACACACTGTTACTCTCATAATGCCCTAATAACCATAATTACAGGGAACGGAGCAGCACTGTAATACGTCACCATGAGTAGATACAAGTATTGCAATAATATTTCCTCCAAAAGCACATTTTTGTCCCTAAATGGACAAATGAAGGTTGTTCGGCATTGCTGTCCACAGCTGAGCACTGCCTGATTTAGCCTATTTCCCACTGGGTACATAACTGGTCCTCATTGGCACTGGCCAGCAGAGGCAAAAAATCTTGGGAACATTCCAGAAATTTAAGATCGACACTAAAACAATTTCTTGGACTATGTAATTGTACCCATATTTGGTCATTCTTGTCATTGTAGTAGCCAGTCTTTTGAATGAGTATTAAAATAGTAAGCTAATGCAATAATCTTAAACTATTTATTATTAATTCTTAAGGCATCAAAAGGTAAGTTTTTTTTTAAAACATAGTCTAACTAAAAAGAAGAAAAAAAATTAAACTTACAAAATGTGAATTAAATTGTTTGGTGCCCGATGTAACAGGAAATAGCATTTCTGTCACTCTCCTGTCTCTGATATTCCCACTTCTGCTACCTGATAATACTGCTGTCGTCATTATTTATATCATCCTGTAACTGTACCCCATTGCTGCCACTTTGGTTTATTTATTTATCCATTTATCCATTTGTTTGTTTGTTATTGTCTATGCCATATTTATGTACATCTTCATTGCTGTTACTTGATATTTGTATTTATTACACTTAAGTTTAGGCTGTGAGGAGATGCAAGTAAGAATTTCACTGTATCTTACTACATTCTGTACTTAATACATATGACAATAAATCTTAAATCTTGCAGTAGCTGCGTTAGGTTGATAGATTTTTAAGCTGTAGACATGAAAAGGAAGCAAACATTTGGTTTGTATGCTGTAGGCCTATTCAGTGTTAGTCAAAATTAAATAAATCTATTCTTGCTATCAACCTAGAAAACAATAGGTGCATCAGGTTCATAACCTCTCTCAAGTTTAATGTACAAACTGCTGGTAACTTGGTGCTTATTGTACTTGTATCATTTTTCACTACCTTAATGAGATTTGCAAGTAGATAGAAAGAAAGAAAGAAAGAAAGATTGATTGACTGACTGATTGATTGATTGATGGAAACTTTATTGATCCCGAGGGACATTTAGGGCCTCTAACACAATCGTTTTCGGGTCATTTAACTTATTATGTTTCACCAAATACACGTCATAAAATAGTACATAATAGTATGGAGTGTATTCGCTTAAGATATTTGATGTAAATGATTAGCTTTTGCACTAGAAACACTGGTATAATTCACATAAATGATACAACTTGTTCTCTCTTTGTTCAGAATCGGTCTCTTCATTTCCGGTGAGCACCTTTAACTTCCTAAATTTAAGTGTCGCCAGTTAGTTAAATTCAGTTGCACATTACTACTGGCACAATCCAGTCAAATTCAGTCTGATTGGGCGGAGACTGTCCCAGTATAGCAACAATGAATCCATTTAACATTGTTTAGTTGTGTGCATTGCCCTGTCCCAGGGTTCCCTAGTTCTGGTCCTGGAGGGTCAGTCTGCATCACAGTTTGCTAATTTCTCTGTTCAAACACACCTTATTCAGCTCACCAGCCAATTTCCAGGTTTAGTAGGTATGTTTGAGCAGGGAAATCTGCAGACTATGTTGCAAACTGGTCCCCCCGGACCGAACTTAGGACGCCCTGCCTTAGGAACAAAGTTGCAACGCAAAATTAAACAATAAAACCAGTGCAGTTCTGCAATTAAAAAGAATATATTTTATGAATTATGAACAGGTCAGGAGCAGTGGCCCGCAGACCCCCCACACCGGTGTGGGGTCAATGATGGCAACACCCTGAGGGTGACAGTGAGGCCGTTTGTGGGCGGGGCCGTACCTTTGAAGTACTTCACTGTTTTGACGCGCAGCTCTAGGGTGGCGTCTTCATCGCACACGAAGAGCGTCTGCGGATGCTGCTGGAAGGCCGACACTGTCCACATGTGGTTGATGCCCTCTTCGATGGCCTTGTAGAGGGCGAAAGCCTTGTGTGCCCCTGTTATTAGAATCATGACCTTGGAAAATGAAGCGTAAGTAATCATGAGCCGGTTTTACGTGATGGTGATTTTAATTTCAAATGCTTCTGCCTGTTTGAGACACAACCCCTATCGTATGCTCCTGTAACATCTACATCGTGTTTAGTTGCCCAAGAAGCCCAGTTGGATCCCCTCCTAGGATTTGAGCTAGCAGCTGTTATCAAAGGCATATACGTTATCCAGTCCCAAACTGTGTGGGGAGATGAGAACTTGTACCTCTCTGGCATCCATGACAGTCCCCACCCCCACGGTCAGGGCCATCGTGGGCACCTTTGACAGGTCACCATCAAAAAAACGAGCATTTGCCAAGATGGTGTCCAGAGCCAATGTCTTAACTCTGGTGCGGGAGGAGAGGCTTGAGCCAGGCTCGTTGAAGGCTATGTGTCCATCCGGTCCGATTCCTAAAGTGACATATAGGTGTTTCTTTTACAGTGATTATTATATCTGTATCGAGGGCTTTACACTATCGACCATCGCTGGGTCATCCTGAATTTACATCTGAATGAGATCACTGGCACTCTTCTCTAGGCAACATGAGTATCTGTTCACACCTCCAACAAAGAGCTGGATTCCTCCTGCAGCCCTGATCTTCTCCTCAAAAGCGTCACACTCCACTTGCAGGTCTGCAGCGTTGCCGTCCAGGATGTGTGCGTTCTCAGCCCGGATGTCGATGTGCTTGAAGAAGTTATTCCACATGAAGGAATGGTAGCTCTCTGGGTGATCCCTTGGAATTCCTATGCAAAGTTAGTTATGGAGCTTATTTACTGGACAGTTATGATTTGCTGCTATTGATCAGCTGGTTGTTTAGCAATTTGAAACTGGCATAAATGTTCAAATGTATTTCATATTGGAACAGAATGACGTACCAACATATTCATCCATGTTGAAAGTTTTAATGTATTTAAAGGAAATCTCTCCATTCTTGAAGTATTCTATTAATTTCTTATAACATCCAAGTGGGGTTCCCCCTATGAAATGCATAAAAGTAATATTATGACTTAGACAGAGTAAAATAGACTGAAACTAACATAATGCATATGGTGCATCACCTGCAGGGTTTAATTCTGTATTAATGTTGCAAATTTGCTGGTTTCATAATAAAAGTCCATGGTACCTGCACATATTTTCCATTTTCTTTTTATTAAGTCTTATTTTCAACCCAGAAAAGTTCTTTTAGAACAATAATTTGGGTTTCAATATATTAGTACTTGAAATGAATTTACTTTAAACCTTCCCATTGTTTCTAATGCGATATGTACTTTTTCTAAATGAATGAAGCAATAATTATTGTTATAAAACCAATGAATTTGATATGATAAAAATTTTACTGAATTTAGTAATTGTCCCATGATTTTCTGCGAGCGCTGTGTCTGAAGTCAGCGAAGTAGCCAGGGAAGGTTTCTGGCCCTCCTGCCCTGGGCCAGCTTACCCGTAGGCAGTCCCAACGTGAAGAACCGCTCTGGTCCAGGGTTAAACTGAATGATCCTGTTCCGAATGTATTTCGCTGCCCATTCACTGGCCTTGTCATAGTCATCAAGAATGATGAGTTTCATTCTCCCCGGCAGGACAGTCCTTCAGAGCGGTGTTTACACACACACACACACTGTATTCACAGAGCAGAGGAGAAGCAGCTTCTCCGCTTTGTTCCACCCAAATCAGACTTTAGCCCCATAAAGAGAAAACGTCAAGACAAGCCAAAGTTCATGTAGCACTTAAAAACATGTGGATAATACTGGTGAGTGGGGGAGCGAACAGAGAATCACAGCAGGGAAAGTTAGCGAGTTGTAATGAAAAGACAACAAATGTTTCTAATCGTCTTGCTGTCGATAGTTAGCATGCGAGTTCATGCCTATTGTACCAAGCTGTACTCTGCATGCAGGCTCTGTGGGCAGCTCTGCGGCTGGTTACTGTCTGGGTTTGCTCTTGCAGTCCAGAAGCCTATAAACTGCTTATAATGTGTGACTGTGATGTATGACTGTGTGACTGTGACTGTGATGTATGACTGTGTGATTGTGACTGTGATGTATGACTGTGTGATTGTCCCCTGTGGTGGACTGGCATCCCATCCATGGTGTGGAGATATTCACTCTACTACTAAAGTGTTGTACTACTAATTCACACTTTCATTTTCTTTAGATCCATGGCAACGTTTTTGCCAAGCAGAACACCAAAGAACCCCTCTCCCAACAAAAGACAATGATTAGGATCTGAACAGTATTTATTTCAGTTTGGTGGAACATCATAAATAGAGCATCAATACCAAGCTATGCAGTATGACGAACACAAAGGAGCAGGGTTAGGGTCCCATGTTTCAAACAGAATTTATGCAGGAACCAGGGGACGGGGAAGCATATTCTGGTCTTCCTGGTGACACCGCGAAAGCTTACAGCTCAGCAAAGCAGTGCATCTTTGCTTTTGGACAAACAGAGATGTAACTGTTTTTCACAGCAGTCGTTAACCAAAGACAAACAAGTATCTTATGCTCTATATTCTATAGAGATGAAAAACTGCCTCACAGTAACCAAATACTGCCTTACAGTAACCAAATACTGCCTTGCAGTAACCAAACCGCCATTTCAGTAACACTCATGCTCTTCATACCTCTAAAGACATTTCGCAACCTGTGTCTTTTCGAACACAGTTTTCACAGAAAAATGTATCTAGAATATTTTTACTAAAAAGAAACCAGGGAAATGCAGGGATGAAGAGGGATGTCCTGTGTACACACACTTCTAAGGGCAGAAGGAGAGGTACAGAAATGGCAGCTTACCAGGGAAAAGGCAGGGAGATGTCCTGTGTACACACACTTCTAAGGGCAGAAGGAGAGGTACAGAAATGGCAGCTTACCAGGGAAAAGGCAGGGATGTCCTGTGTACACACACACTAAGGGTAGAAGGAGAGGTACTGAAATGGCAGCTTACCAGGGAAAAGGCAGGGATGTCCTGTGTACACACACGCTAAGGGCAGAAGGAGAGGTACTGAAATGGCAGCTTACAAACCAAGCAGAACGTCAAGTCAGTATTACAGCAAACATTACTGAACCTCACAGCTTACATACTAAAAAAAAAAAGGTTTTATTCCTTACAGAAAAGTTTGCTAACATGACCAAACAGCAGCTGAAGATGTGGCTTGCATTACTGCACAGGAGATGCAGTGCCATCGCCCCAGCACTGCCAGACCAAGCTGTTTCTCTGAGAGGGGGCAGGCTAGACTGACACTGCTGTGGACAGAGGAGGAGGCCAATTCTGAAACATCTCAGCTGGAGAGGCACAGAAGTGCCCCGGCCGGCTAGTCGACCTCCATCTCAGGCTGCTTATTCGCTGTTGATTGGGGAGCGGAGTGGGAATCAGCCTCAGCCAATCCCTTCGCGCGACTGGTGGACTCCTCCCCACGCACTGGCCCATTCTGTTCAGCCTTCTCGTCCTTGGGGGGCTCCTCCTTTGGCTTGGGCTTGTTGATGACAGGGTTGCAGACCGAGCAGAGATCCTGCATATCATGGGAACAATTTGTCATGAGACGTCACGGCCTCTGAAAAGAAGCCACAAGCATAAACAGTCCAAGTTTAACGCGGAATAAACATCTATTCCCCAGTGTGACGTCGGCCTCTCACCTTCGTTTTTGCCCTAATCTCCTGAGCTCTGACTTTCAGCTCATGTGAGAGTTCCTGCTTGCGCTGCTCGTTCATTTTGCTGTTCATCCACATCATGGTTTCAGTGACCACCTTGTCCACCTTCTGGACCTCCGTCTCGTCCAGGTGATCATACTGTGTCTCCTATGGATGTGACAGACAGCAGCACCATCAGCTTCACGTTTCTCCAGGCCTTCACAGCACACAGGGCTTCTCCAGGAACGCACACCGCAAACTCACGCTTTTCCATTGTAAAGCATGCAAGCCGTAGAATGGAATGGATTCATAATGCAAACTTATGGAAGTGAATGCTAATTCCACTAGCATTTGATGCTAATATAACACGGCAGATCTCACAGATGTGCTACAAAATGAGAAAATTAGCACATAGTAAATCGTGATGTACACTGTGTGAACCGTGATTACATAAGCGCCTCTTCAGTTTTACGTCACCGTCGTTCTCCAAACCCAGCAACGCCTTAACAAGCTGAGCCTTCTGCAGTGGAAAACCAAAGCTGGCTGGTACCGCACTGTAACCGCACTGTAACTCGTCTCTTTTTTGCAGTACGGCTCGGATCCTGTATGCCAGTGGAAAAGCGCCAAACCACAGCGGGAGGTATGAGCAGACACACTAGTCACCTTCATCTTGTACGCCTCGATAGCCTTCAGGTACTGCTGGATGTGTCTACCCAGTTCCTCAAACGCCTTTGGTCTCTCTTCAGCCTCGCAGCATCTCTCCAAGATGGGCTGGCCTAGTTTCTAAAGAAAAGCAGATCATATTCAGCTTCCTTCAACAGCGCAGTCAAGCCAGGAAGCTGGCAGGACAGGACGGGGGCACCAGTACCTGCAGTTCGGCCAGCTTGTCAATGTATACTTGTTTCAGCTGGTCCTCTCCATCGTCATAGAGCCAGCTTTCAGTGTCTTCCAGTTTCAGTGAGAAACTGTCTCTGTCCTACAAGAGATGGGGCTTTAAGCAGGTGTGCATAGCTTTCAAAAGGACTTCAACTGAGTGAAATGACGCAACGAACACCGTTTATCAAGAATGTCCCTGGGAATCAGTAACGTTAATCTGATCTAAAAGTTCTTTTCCTAACCCCATCCTGCTCTCTGCGACACACATGTAGGTGAGAGTAAGCCTGGCAGTGAAGGGCAGCCACCTGCAGTGATACCCATGGAGCTGGGGGTTAAGGGCCTCGCTTAAGGGCCCACGGATGTGACTATTCTGCAGAGGCGTGGCTCGAACCGGCAACCTTCTGCTCACAGACACAGAGCCTTAGCTCACTGAGCCACATGCTGCCCCCAATCCAACCTGATCTAACCAAATGAACCAAGACACATGATAATCGCTGTACTTTTTTGATGGCTTCAGCCATACCCCCTGGTGGCACACGCAGAAGGTCACGCCCCCTGGTGGCACACGCAGAAGATTACATCCCGAAGCAGGTGAAGTCCACTCACTGCTTCACTGACGAACTTCTCCAGTGCGCCGTGGAGCTTGTCCCTCATTTCATACACGTACTCCTCCAGGGTGTTCTTGACATCATTCCTTTCCTTCTCCAGCTTGTCCTGCATGATCATCTTGCCCTGACGGAAGCAGGCGAATAACCCAGGATTACAAACGGTCCACTCTCAGGCCGAGCCTGGACTTCCCAAATGGAGGGTGGGTGAGCGGGGTGACAGTGAGGCGTCTTGTCACTCGGCACGGACCTCGTTCTCCATGTACAGGTTGAGCGTGTCACTGGGAAGCTGCCACTGCAGACTGCTCTCCATGGGAAGGTCGGTCATTTTTGTTTTCACTTTGGGTTTCTTGGCCTCGGGGGGGTGATCGTTCAACTTTCCCCCCTTTTCACCTTCCGGCGAGATCTAAACAAACCAACAAACATACACCGTCTTCCAAATGATCATGCGAGCGACATCGGTAACCTTTTCAGCAAATTACAAACCTGTTGTGATCTTCTCTTATTGTTCATTTTTAATCCCTCTTTAGATAAAACTACACCAATCGCAGTTTAGTTTGTCAAGTGATCTTCATTAATGAGAAATCTACTTAAAATTGTTCACAAGTTGATGATGGATGAGAGAGCTGTTAAAGTAATTTCAAGGAACTGCTTATACAGTAATATGTATGGTCTACTAGGATGTGTTTTGGAGAACAATATGCTTCTGCAGCAGATACGCCAGATTGAGATCAATCAGATTCAGTCATTTATGACAGACTGAAGTTTCAAGATGGCAGTCTACATAGCAATTTGGCACACTGTTTTTGTTTTTTTCCCAGGTTATATAAAAATGATCAGGCATCGCTGCTTCTGTACATTCAAAATGAACCAACAATAGCTAAGTACCTAAACAGAGTTGACTCTTTTTAGAATAAACCAAAAATGGCATCTGCATAATAATTTGGAACACGGTGTACAGAGCCAGCAGCCACAAGCCGGCCAATAGGCTCTCTTACAGCACAGGGGACTTTAGCATAAACACAGGCCAGCTGACAGTCCACATCCCACACGCACGCACACACACACACACACACACACACACACATACATGCATCACACACACACACACACACCTGAAAATAGGACTGTGACGTCTCCAGCTTGAGGCCAGTATAGTCTTTCAAAGGATAATTAACAGTATTAAATAACAGGGTGTGTGTGTGTAAAAGGGCAGCAGCTGCACAGCGAGTCACCCTGGACACCAGCACTGGCCAGGGCAGCACATCTGGACAGACGGGGGGTCACAAAGGCCACTGCATTCACCTCCATCTCCTCCGCCTCGCACTTCCCCTTCTGCACATCGCTGTGGGCATTCACCTCATCTTGGTCGACCTGCATTTTGTTCTAAAGGGAGGCAAAGACTCAACATAAAACTCCTCTAATGAATGAGCTTTTCCATTCTTCCGGTCCTTAAAGAAGTATGCAGGCAATCTGGGCAGAGTGCTTCAGATTCCACTTTGGAGTAATCAGATTTTAAATAATATTTAAATGATCGCAATGAATGCTTTCTGTATATGGATCCCTACATTTAAACGCATGCTATTCCAGTCTGGTTCAATTACGAAATGCTCAAACAACTGATCTGAGGGCCAGTAAAAGAGGCGGCCCGACCTCACTGCAAATGGACACTGAGCAGTGGCTCTCCCATCAGAAACACGCACCTCCTCCTCCTTCGCGGCTGGCTCCGTCTCCATGGGCTCCTCGTCCTCCTCAGACCTACTCAGCTCTACCAGCGAGGCACTGGACATGCTGAAAACCCCATGGATGTTGATTCGCACCTTCACCTTCACCTTCGAGTTCGCCCCCGAGGCCTGAGCCACCACCTTCTGGATCTTGAACTGACCTGCATGCAGGTTTTTCAGTGTGAATTTCCACAGATGAGCTTCATGATAAATAAAAGCAACTAGAAGGGCTGTGTTGCTGTCCTACACTGCTGCACCCCAG